TATTAAAACAAATTTTGACTCCCTTGAGGCAGTTTCTCTAGAAATACAAAATCTTTGAGTTTGTTTCAATTGAAATAAACCATTTTTGAGTCGTTTCACTTGAAACATTTTCTTGAAACATTTTCTCTTAAAACAAGATCATCTTTGAGTTTGTTTCTCTCTGGAAACAATGTTTTATCCCTTAAAACAATTTCTTTGAAAAAAAAAAAAATCATTGAATCTCTTTCTTTGGAAACAAAATTTTGTGTCTCTCGAGACGGTTTCTGTGAGAAAAATCTTCGAGTTTGTTTATTTGGAAAACAAAATTTACCATCTTTGAATTTGTTTCCCTTGAAACAAACAAACATCTTTGAGATCAATTCCCTTTAAACGAATTTGTCTCATTTGAGACAGTTTTTCCCTTTAAACGTCGTCTTTGAGTCGTTTCCCTTAAAACGAATTTTTCTCTTTTGAGACAGTTGCTTTTAAAAAAAAATATCATCTTTGAGTTTATTTGAAACAAATCTTTAATCTGGTTTCTCTAGAAACCATAACTCCTAAAAAGGCCAGTCGTCCTCATCATGTAGGAACCGTGTCATCCCCAGACCAGATCTTCATCACGTATGAGCCGTGTCAACCATAGATACCAGCCGTCCTCATCACATAGGAACCGTGTTATCACCTTTAGATGGCCAGAACTCTTCATCACGTATGAGCCGTGTCATTCCCCGACCAGATCTCTTCATCACGTATGAGCCGTGTCACCCTAGATAACCAGCCGTCCTCATCACGTAGGAACCGTGTTATCACCTTTAGATGGCCAGAACTCTTCATCACGTATGACCGTGTCATTCCCCGACCAGATCTCTTCATCACGTAGGAGCCGTGTCAACCATAGATAACCAAACTCTTCATCACGTACGAGCAGTGTCGTCCCCAACAACCAATATTATCCAATTTCTATGTATAAATGGAAGAGAACCAGACAAAAACGTGTTGTCTTATCATCTTTGCCCTATTCTTGTTAACACAAGAATGTGCAAAGAGGGGCAGCTGTAGACACCCGTTTTGTCCGGGTTTTTTTCGTTATTTATTATTATTATTATTATTATTATTTCATCTTATTATTTATTATTAATATATTACAAAATTTGCAGGCTCAAACCCGAAGCCCATCAGATACCAAGCCCGACCCAAAATTACAAGACTTGGAGCCCAGACCCGGTTCAGGCCCAATACTAATCCCAGGCCCGTTCAGTAACCCAAAGTAATTAGGGTTTGAAACCCTAAATATCATCAGCAGCCGCCCAACAGAGGAAAGGGTGCCACGCCGCCGTTACTGTTCCGGCCCACTCCGATGGTCCAGCCGCCGTTCCCACGTCACCAGCGTCATCTACAGTGCAAAACGTCCCCAAATCAGTCCCAAGTTATCATTTACAGTAACCTATTTAAAACCCCATTTTAAAATAAGTTAAATCCCGATTTTTCGGGATTTAACATAGCAAAATCTGGAAAATCATTTCACCTATGTAGAGGCTTCATCATTATCACCAAATATCCCACATAAATCAGAGAAAGACAGAGAGAAAAAAAAAACCATTCGAACAGAAAAAATACAAAGAAATCGAGGAGAAAAAACGAAGAGAAAAAAGAAAAATCCGAAACCACAACTTACTTACCTTGTAGATTCAACCCTAGTGACCTCGTCGAAGCTAGGAGGAACCACCTCTGAAGGTAAAGTCTTTTCTTTATGCTAGGGTTTGTTAGGGTTCGAAAAATGGGGTTTGTTTTGGGTTTAAGTAGGTTAGGGGGTTGTTGTAGATGAGAGAAGAGATGCTAGGGGCCGGGAGTTAATAGCTTCCATCCTCGGTGAATGATGGAGAGAGCTCGGTGAAGGATGGAGAAAGGCACGGCTGAGGGGGGAAAGAAATAAAAATGAGAGAATAGGGTTTTAGAAACCCTTAAGCGTGGTATATGACCACAACCAAACGACGTCGTTTAAACCCCATTTCACCGTGTTTTTCAAACAAAACAGGGTAAATAGCTTATTTGGTCCTCCTAGTTTTGCAAGCTTACCTGCACGTTCTGGGTTTTTAGGGTCTAATATCAGATTGGGTCCTTTTAATTCTGTAATCTCTCACGCATTTTTTTATGTTTGGGATAAACCGCAGTTAGATCCTTTTAATTCTGTAATGTTTGTGATTTGATCATTCCAATGAAAGTTTATCTTTTCATTTTGAGCTTTGTAATCTGCTAATATTTTATTTTAGTCACATTTGTTTTTTTTATATTGTTTATCTGTTTAGCTTTTGGACTGCTGATCTTGTATTCTTTTCATTTTAGTCAGATAGAATTTTTGCATAATTTACTTTAAGCTTTGAATTCTGTTACACTTACACTTTGGTCACTGTTTCATATTGTTATCCTTTGGTTTAAGTAATGTTTGATCTCGTATGGCTGTTCGTCTAAGTATTCCTTTTTGACAGATGATATTATTTAGTGTTCATTCCGGCCACTTGTATTAATTAGTAAATTGGGTAATTTATTTATACCTTATGTTTAATCTCATTCGCATATGATTCTTATATATAATGTGGTATTTAAGGTTCAAGTATTTATTTTATGCTTATAGTCCTTGTTGTTTTATTGTTTTAGATATTTACTTATAATTGTATTGTGTTGATGTATATATTTTTACTGTTATTGTCAATATATATATATATTATATATATATATATATATATATATATATATATATAATATATATATATATATATATATATATATATATATATATATATATATATATATATATATATATATATAGGTGCAGTATGATGTATTTACTTTGTTACTTAATGTTTTTAGTACGTACATGAAGGTATGTTGTGCTTTAAAACCGTTTATTAAGTAATTATGATTATATATTCATTTTAATGTCCTTTATTCGAATATCTTCAAGAACTGTCTTTCGTGGAATGGGCGTGGAAAGCATCGCTTGATCGAAGCGGCGTAATCCGATACGACATTTAAACAAATGTGAACGTGAAATAAAATTGATTTTATCTTGCTAATTAATTCTTTTATTTTAAGCCGAACATTGTAATGAATGTCTCTGAATAATAATTTATTTCATTTCATGCAAATTGTCAATTTTGTTCTACATTTTATATTCGATTCATTATTTAGTTTATTTTGTTGTATGTAAACATCAAATTTTTATGTATATTCGATTTATTTTTTATCAATTTATTTTGTTGTATGAAAATATCGTTTTTTGTATATTCCATTCGTATCTTTGTTAATGAGGAATATTCTTTTAAAGATAAGAATAGACGAGTTAGCTTTCCCGACGGAGGATGGTTAATCTCGAGATTTTTTTTTTAGTTAAAGAATTTTCTCTAATTAAATAATTCGAAGCAAATTAATCAATGTTCGATAAATAGATCATTTTTTTAACTTTATATACGATTTATAATTTCCATCATTTACGACGGTGTGTAAGCGACACAGTACCAATTTGGGCGTTGTAGGGGTGTTTATCCTTCCCCACACGTAACCGACTCCCGAACATGTTTTAAGTGAATCTTTGGTAACGCAGATCAAATTTTGTCTTATAAAACTATTTTTCTTAAAATTGTTTTTAAAAGACGTTCTTAGGTATTCGACTGCCCAACCCAAAGGTCGATGGCGACTCATTTTCAATTTAATTTTAATTAATCCATAATCACCAATTTTCTAAATTAAAGTCGTAATCGTTTTAAAATAATATAAATTATTTTTATAAAAAAAAATGGTTATGACACTTGTGAATATTGTTTTACATTATTAAACCTTAACAATGTTATTAAAGATGATATATCATGGTTATATGGTTATTTTGAATTTTAAACAAGGATTGTTCCTACATTAATAATGTTAAGATATGATATATATTTAAATGACGTTATTCTAAGTTGTTAAAAAAGTAATGTATTGCGTGGTAATAACGTTGAAGGTGAATTGTTGATTGTTGTATCAAGTACCATCATTTGAGATTATTAAATAAAGTGTTGTATTACATGCTAAGGATTTTATAGATAATTTTTTATCGTTATATCATTAAATATCGTTTTGGATTATTAAATAATAATATGTTTCACATGCTAAGTAAAAAAGAATACACATTTCATATGAAAAATATTAAAGATAAGATGAGATAAGACCGTTATATCGTTAAATATCGTTATTTTAATACTCTTTTACAAAAAAATAACTTTATTTAGATTATTAATCATAATATTTCACGTTAATAATATCAAAGATATGATCGTTTATATTGTTAAATACCCTTTTTTTACGTATTAAATTGTTAATTAATCCAAACATTATATGTGCACTTTTCTTTTTTAATCTTTTAATTTTCATCCGGAACTTATGATTATTTCTTTTGATAACGTGTCTTATTACTAAACCGGAAAATATGTTGAACATAGGAAGAGGGTTTGAACATAAATATGGACAAATCTTTTACGCTAAGCATTTCCATGTAAGAGACTATTATTTTTGGTAAATCTCATTTAATTTAGATTATACACTGGATTTTCATCATAAATTCCTGTAAAATTTCAAGGGGCGATAGTTCTTCATCCCCCAATGTTGTCTTGTTCTTCATAGTTTCATCATTTCATGTTCAAAGAATCAAAAGAGAAACTGCAGATTAAATCAAATAATTTCAAAAGAGAAACAAAACAAACGGACTTTGCTTGTGTGTAGAGTGTAGACACAGTTCCCTGCCATTTGTATCACCAAATTTGCAGCCACGAATCTGCTTACTTCTGGTACTCAAAATATAAATAAGTGCGGCCATTGTTGCTCCCAAATCAAACTAGAGGAGAAGAGAGAAAGAGAAAGATGGGGTCTGATGATGAGACCGAGTGGAAGAGAGTTTTCAAATCCTAGGGCTTTTGCAGTATGCTCTCCGTTTTGAAAATCACAATCTTGGTTGATGATGATTCCATTCTCTGGCAATCGTCTCCGCCATGTTAAGAGGGTTTCGTTATCAAGGTATATCTATGTAAACTTTGTTTTTAGTTCTTTTCATGGTGATTTCGCTCATTCCAGTGACTTTTTTCTTAGGGTTTTTCATATCAATGTTCTGTTCCCAGGAAAAAAAAGTTGAAACTTTCTTCATGGTAAAGTATACTCATTTATGTTTCAGTTACAAGTGTTAAGAATCCCTTGGCAGCGTTGTCTGTTCTTCGGGCAAATCCAGACAATATTGACCTAGTGGTCACAGATCTTCATATGCCAGAAATGAATGGGATCGAGCTCCAAAAACAAATCAAACGGGAATTCAGAAAACTCCCCGTTATCAGTAAGTACTGGCTTTCCTTTTCCTTTTACGAGTTACAGCGACTGAAAGTCTGAAACTTTAACACTTTTCAACGAGTGCAGTAATGTCCTCCGATGACAGTGAACGTGTGATGCTGGATAGCTTAGTGGGAGGAGCTGTGTTTTTCATAGTAAAACCTGTGAGCCCCGATGTCTCAAGGATGTATGGCAGTATGCCGTTGTTGGCAAGAAAGGTAAATCCCTGGCTATCGAGAAATCGAAGGAGACTCTTTGTCATCGTCGGTCGAAAACTATGCATCGGCAACATGAGACGATTGTCATCTCCTGTGAATAATGAAAGGGATGATGGTCAAAGAGGTTCCAAAAGAAAGGAACCGGGGAAGGACAAGAATGGAAAAGATGAAGACAATAACCCTAAACTCAAGCCAAAGAAGGCCAGGAAGGCTAAGGTGGTCTGACAAACCCACTTCATCACCAGTTCTTAGATGCCTTGCGAGATCTTGGCCTCGAAAGTATGTATATATATACACACATCATCATCATCGATAATTTTGATTTGAAAATGCCTATCTAACTGATGAAACTTTGTTTTCTTTTCATGTTTAACTCCAGCAGAAGCTGTTCCCAAGAAGATTCTTGAGCATATGAATGTCCGAGGCTTAACCAGAGAAAATGTGGCTAGTCATTTACAGGTTCGCTTTTGGCTAATTATCTACTTAGATCCCTTTAATTTTTTTCTCAGAAAGTACTTGTCACTATCTTTCTTAGTGGTTTTGTAATATCCCTAATACTTCTTGTGGATATGTAAATATTGCAGAAGTATCGCCTCTTCTTAAAGCGAATCGCAGAAAGGGGTTGTTTTCAATCAAAGGCCATGTTCGACAGGTTCCTCAAGTCTACTTTCGCAGCTGGCCATCCACTGTTGATGAAAACAGCTCAAGAATACGCTCGACTGCAAGAACTGCAACGATTGAGGGGCTTAACATCCTATCCTGGCTATGGAGGGAATTATTCGCCTCATAATACTACTAGGTATGGAACCTTCGGCTATGGTAATCATGGTGCTTCAAGCAGCAACAGGGTTCAGCCATATGGCGGTGGACAATCCCGTTTACTGTCCCACCAAGCTAACAAGCCACTGCTCTCTGGGAACCTGATGAATCCGACCTATCTGGGTAATCGACCGGGATTATCTGGTGGCCTGATGAACTCTTCTAACTCGTTGCCATCGTACCCGCAGCAGATTCAACCAAGGTCTGGCTTTTACGATGCTGGTTCCTCATCCCAGTTCAGGTTTGGTTCACCTGGTCTTCGCTCTCCGAGTTCGACATTCGGAACCAACGGGATCTTCGGAAGCATGAGCGGTTCCCAGTCCTGCTCTAGTCTGAATCCCGATTACGACGGCAATAATACTAGCTACGCTGGGAGTAGCTTGAATGCTGATGAACTTAACGGTGGCTATGATTCAATGACTGGTGTTTTCAATGAGAACATGAATGTTGCATCCATGGGGAATCAAACTTTTGATTATCTGGCTCCAGGAGTGTTATCTTCGCCGGTATTACATGAAACAAACCAAGTTCCACCAGGGTCTACTGCGTCGAAGCAACAAGCAAACACGATGCTGCCGGGTCTCGACTATCCAGGAGTGACCGATTATAATTCTGACGAGCTGCTGAATAATGGTTTTGATCTGCAACTTGACGATGCTTACCTCAACGAACTCAGCGACCTCATCCTTGGGTCCAAGAAGTATCAATCGTCTAATCAGGTATATACTACATTTCTATTCTAGTGATTGAGTGAATTGGTTTTATATATTGATCTTCTTTCTCGAAACAATTTGTTTTTGATTGGCACAGCAACAAGCTGGTTCTGGCAGCGGCGGTGGCGACGACAATCCGGAGTTTTCTTTCGGCTCATTGTACCCGGAAATCTACCCCTCACTGGATGAACTTCTGAACTCCGACATTGACGAGTCCCTGGAAGATAACGCTCCTTGGAATGAACAAGGTGTTAGCCAGGCAAGTGCATTATTTTGATTCCGGTTATCTCTACCACCACCTGTTACCCTTCAATTCGACAATATTCGTGCCTCCGCAGATTCAAAGTGCTCTTGAAGAGTTGATCAACACCGATACTGCTGCTGCTGCTGGCGATGCAAACCCTTCCAATGAATCTGGAAACACTAATCAGGCAAAGTTCAATTTCCAAAACTAAATTTTCTTTGTTATGGATCATGCTCTCATACTCATCTGTTGTAATGTATATAGCAACAAACCCAGGTAGAGGAACAACCGATTGACCCTGACTTACTCAGCAGCTTATTCCAAGTGAACGATGATGCCCTAACTGCTGAAGATAACTCATCAAATGATCAGGCATGTTACCATGATTTCATCACTGAAGTTTATTTAGCATTATATTTAATTCAAATTCTTTCTTCATCAATAACTTTCCTTTTCGTTTTTTTTTTCTTTTTTACGTTTACGATTTTATCATTGCAGGTTTCCCAAGAAGATGAGTTCCTAGCTTCCTTGTTCAACTTCGGCAATCTGTTCGATTGACACCATCACTTCGAAGCATCCGAATCCAATCATGAACCGGAAGCAGCTCCATTAAACTTGCTAGTTGATGGAATGCATTCAAATTATATGCATATAGTTTATGCATGGCCTATATATAATATATAGTTTAAGTTTGAATGATAGGAAACTTGGAGTTGGGTTTGCTGTGTTTTATTTTGTTCATGTAATGTTGCAGTTGTGTTGTTATTTTGGTTGTGTAATCTTTGTTATTTTGGTCGTGTAATCTGAACTTTTTAATGGTGACAATCATTTTAATTCAGTTTTTTTATTTATTTATAATATTAAGATTCTAATATTTTATTTTACTTAAAAATTTTGATGTCTCATCTCATTAAATCAACTGATAATTAATATATTTACTCCATCATTTGTTAAGCTTTATTTTGAATTCAAATGAAAAAAAAATTAATTACCATTTTTCTTCCTCCAAACTATGGCAATTCCTATACATTAGCAACTTTCTACTCTAAATCTCTCAAAATTTAAAATAAAAATATAGCTGTTGCATGATTTTCTTCTGTCCAATGCTAATGCCATATGAACCATACTAAATTTTACTATATATTAATCCAAATCTTTGATAGATTTGTTCGAATAACAATAGATTTTGAGAATCCTTCAAAGAGCGTTCAATAGATTTTCATAATCTCGTTGCCATGAATCCAGGCCGTTGTGCTGCCTGCAGATATTTAAGAAGAAAATGCCCTCCTGATTGCATCTTCTCTCCTTATTTCCCACCCAATATTCCACAAAGATTTGTTTCTGTCCACCGAATCTATGGCGCCAGTAACGTCGCAAAACTCCTCCAGGTAAACTTCAGTTTCGAGACCAGAATAATATATGTTAATGTGGTCTAAGTTCCGTTATCGTGTGTAGCAACTACCGCCCAATCTGCGAGCTGAAGCTGCGGAATTATTGTGCATGGAGGCACAGTATCGGATCGAGGACCCTGTCTATGGCTGTGTTGGACTCGTATCTTCACTGCAAAAACAGATACATGATGCGGAGAAGCAACTGGCAAAAACTCAAGCTAAGATTGCGTTTCTGAAATATCAGGCTCAACATCCCCAAGCTGCTCTGTTGGACGATGCTGCTAATCTTGACTTCATTCATCAAGGTTCTTCTGGGTTTATGCAGGATTGAATAAAAGTAACTTCGACTAATGCAAAGTTTTAAATTTTATAGATTTTATGTATTGGCCTATTAAATCACATGTTAAATAGATGTTTTCATTATAAAAAAATTAAAATGCATTTGAATATTAAATATCATTAAACAAACATAAAAGCTACATAGAAATGATTTAGAAGTATTCACGTCTCAATAGTTTAACGTTATATAAGATAATTTGAAAGTATTCATATGTCTAATTGTGATCCATTTGAAAATAGTTTAACTCGGGTCAAAATAAAAGTGTTTATGACTTGAATTATCTTTATACTGGAAAATTATAAATTTATAGCTTATGCATGGTAATATATAGTTTAAGTTTGAATAATAAGAAATTTGCACTTGGGTTTGTGATGTATTTATTTAAATTAAACTATCATTAACAAATCCAAGTCTAAATTTGATGGTTCACATTTTTTAAAAGTTTGAATCTTAATAGTGTAAACAAGGAAAACTAAATTAAAAGTATCATTAACATAATATAGTTTAACTCGGGTCAATAATTTTTTTTAGTATGTAATGTTATATATATGCTTGTAGTTGTGTTGTTACTTATGTAATGTGGACTCTATTATGTTAATGATACTTTTAATTTAGTTTTCTTCGTTTACATTTAAACTTTTATATTTTATTTAAAAATTTTAATGTAGGGTTGAAAATTGAGTGGATAACACATGATTTTGGTGTAATAAAAGTAACTTTGACTAATGCAAAGTTTTAAATTTTATAAAATTTACATGCTGGCCTATTAAATCACATACTAAATAGTTGTATTCTTAGGTTAAATTAAAAAAAAATACATCTAAATATTAAATATAATTAAATAGTTAAATATTGATTTTTTTTAAAATTCACATTTTTTAAAGAATGATTTAGAAGTATTTAAAGGGCAAGCCGTAATTCGAATTGAAAATAGTTTAAGCTAAAGTCAAACTGAAAATGTTAATGGGTAACAATCATTATACATAAGATTCATAAATTTATATTTAAAGGTAAATATGATTTGAAGTGACTATCTATACAAACGTTGGGTACTAATTGTTATTATGCCTTTTGTTCATATATATATATATGACTAATTCAAATTGGTTAACGAATTACTTATATTATGATTTTATTTTAAAATTATTTTATTTTTAGTTTAGTTTTTAATATTTTATAAGATTTTCCATTCATTAAATTTCTTTATTTATTATCTTTATACAGGGATAATTTTAAAGTGATATAAAACATATAAAACAACATAATTTAAATATTGTAAACTTAAAAATGGGCTAGACTCAAATTTTAAAAAGTTAGTTCGACCCATATTTTAAATGGGCTCGATTATTTGTTCAAACCCATTGTTTCAAATTTTAGACAGGTCTTCGGGCTTCTGGTGAGCGCCCGACTTTTAAACCGAACTAAGCTAAACGTGTCAAAAAAAATCTATTTTTATTCTAAAAATAATAAAATATTATAGTTTTATGTTAATATTTATATATTTTTATTATTAGATTTAAAACTATATATTCTAATTTTCACACAAGGATTCTTCTTCGTCTAATTAATTAATATAAAATATCAAATAGTATTTGGGTCAAATTAGGATTTTCTTAATAAATTTCAGGCCATTTTCACAAATATCTCAAAACTGGGGGCTTGAGAAAACGAACGTTATTTTCACCTCGCTATTTATTGACTCACGAGCTTCGCATTTTAGCTCATTTCGTGAAAAATATCGCGAGGTTCTTTCACTAGGGTTTCGAACTTTTTATTTATTTGTTTCATCCTGAAATCCCTGCTTCCGAAGGTAATTTCCTCACTCTAATCATCGTTTCTATACAAGTTTAATTTCCGGAGCTTTCTGTTTTCTTTTCCATGAAAATATGTGAAAATGAAGGAAAGTCTAGTTTATATGATTCTTATAAATTTAATTTGTTCAGTTCCAATCTCTTATCTCACCTTAGTTGTCTCTTAGTATCTAAGATGATATTTTTTCTTAGATCTATGATTTGTATATCTTTATGGTAGATTTGGTTGTTGTTTTATTTCATTTTTCATTTATGTAGATCCAGTAGCTATAATTGTGTTTTTAGCTCCCCCTTCCTTTCAAAGACCTCCAGAATGTCGTTCACTAGAATACTGTGAATAATTTGTTTATATTAACTCGAAAAGAATGCTTTCGGATTTTCTTTTTATTGTGTGATGAATCAAAATATAAAGAATGAGAGTTATGTAATTCATTTAGAGAAAGCCTTTTCTTTTGGAGTATTTTTTTATGAAAATGACATCAGTACTATATTTCAAATATCCGGGAACATCCCCTTGTCTTGTTGATTATCTTTTGTTTTGTCTCTTAAGCCTCTATTTGTTTACTAAATAGCTTTGAAATATTTTTGATGCTGATGCCATGCTCTATCTATTTTGATTCTGTTAGAATGTGTTAGTACTTGATACTTTGATAGGTTACCCTCTTGTTTTGACTTGTTCTTCCATAAGTTTGCATGTGTGTAAACATGTATGTCTCTGTGTGTGTGAAATACTGATGGAAAGTTGTCTCATCTGTTCAGGCAACATGAGACCCATTTTCTGCGGAAACTTTGAGTATGATGCACGTCAGTCTGATTTGGAACGACTCTTCAGAAAATTTGGGAGAGTCGAAAGAGTAGATATGAAGTCTGGTAAGTATTGTTTCTCATTATCTATGTTATTGACTATTGATTCCATGTGAGCATTGTGAGCACCATTCCCTTGCTCCTTTTTTTTTACTTTTCTTTCTTGCTATTGGTGCTATTTAGCTGGATGTGTTAATTGTAAAGGTGCCAAGAGTAATTTGAGTTTAAAAAGCTGTTTTCTTGTTGACTATGGCACAGTTAAAAGCTATTCCACGTAGTTTTTAGTTTCAATATGTAAATGAAAACAAGCTGTTTTTTTGGTGCTGAACTTGAATTCCTCAAAAATCCTGCTTGACAAATTTTCGAAGTATAATTGTGGTATCGCATTCAAAAAGAAGAAGCTTAATATGAATTCTTACGGTAAGTATAATACTCTTTAATTGTAAATGTCTAAAAAATTAAAATATGGAGCAATATGTGTGCACATGTCGCGATGAGTTAAAGTTCCTGCAACAACGAGGAATGTCAAGTATCCTACATCCAGAGCATTAAGGTGTTGGTCCCTATCATGATGGCTGTGCAGCGTATGACCTCATAGTACACGACACAGCAGCATCAATTATCCTTCGTTGAGTTTTACTGGGGGTCCACGATGTTTAAGGGAAAAAAGTAATTTTGAAAAATAAGCCCCCATACTCAACATTTTCTTTGGCGCAGGATTTTCTAGGGATATTATGGAGGAGCTCCACAGAATTCTGTTTCATGCATGTGATGAGCTTCCTCTTCTTGCTTTCAAGAAGAGTCACTCTAATCCGCAATGGCATCGATCATCCCTCATTTTCCTCGGGCATTTTTTCATTTCATTCCTCGTGACTTTTCCCCAGCCCTCAAATTCAGACATGTTTCAAGGTAGAAACATTATTGACCTCATGGCAGAGGCTGCAGAAAATATGGAGAAGGCACATTAATTCCTTGCCCTACCTGAGATCCATTTTTGGATTCTTGTTCCTTGACATCACTTAGTTCATCACTCAAGGTCTGTTACTACTTTAACTGGTCTTAGTTTATAGATTATAAGGAGCTTGCCAAAATTTTGTCCTAGGGAAGCATTTTAGGTGGTTTGTTTCTTGCCGAAGAGGAAATGTCAACCGATAGAAGATTCCTTTGGTGGGAGGATTCATTGTATCTTAGTTAATCATTTTCCACCATTGTGAAACTCCTAATGAGACCAATGTTTTCTGGTGTGTAGGATTTGCTTTCATCTATATGGAAGACGAGAGAGATGCTGAAGATGCCATCCGAGCACTTGATCGAACAGAATTTGGTCAAAAGGGACGTAGGCTTCGCGTTGAATGGACAAAGGTATTGAGTTGGTATTGTTACTTTTGACAGATCTTTGAACTGCTTTTTTGTTTGCTTTCTCATCTTAGTAAATTCCTTTTTACTTTTGTGTTTTAAGCATGAGCGTGGCATTAGAAAGCCCGAGGGAGGTGGGGGTGGTTCAAGAAGATCTGCAGCCAATACAAGACCTTCAAAGACTCTATTTGTCATCAATTTTGATCCATATCACACTCGGACTAGGGATTTGGAAAGGCACTTTGAGTCATATGGAAAGATAGTAATGTAAGGATCAGAAGGAATTTTGCATTTGTACAATATGATTCCCAGGATGATGCCACCAGAGCATTGGAGGCTACAAATATGAGGTAGAAAGCCTACTTCCCAAGAAGAATTGCCAATTATTTACTCCTTTATTTAGAAGATATTCAGGAAATCCTATTATTTTTTCTTGAACCATGGTCTCGTCTAATTGCAGCAAGCTGATGGATAGAGTTATTTCGGTAGAATATGCAGTTCGAGATGATGATGATTGCCGAAATGGTTATACCGAAACTCGTGGTAGGTTACCTGAGAGAGGTCGTGATAGTAGACGATCACCAAGTCCTTACCGAAGAGAGAGGGGTAGCCCTGATTATGGCCGTGGTTCTAGTCGTAGTCCTTATAGGAAGGACAGGGGGAGCCCTGATTATGGTCGTGGCCACAGTCCAAGTCACTATAAGAGAGATAGAGGCAGCCCCGAGTATGGCCAGATCACCAGCCATAGTCCTCCTCGAAGAGAGAGGGCTGGCTCTGACCATGCTCGTGGCTCCAGCCGAAGTCCTTACAGGAAGGAGAGGGCTAGCCCTGAGAATATCCAAGGCCCTATCCGTAGTCCTTATAGGAGAGAGAAGCAAAGTGCTGAAAATGATGGTAGCCCTTATAGGAGAGAGAAGCGAAGTGCTGAAAATGATGGTAGCCCTTATAGGAGAGAGAAGCGAAGTGCTGAAAATGATGGTAGCCCCCATCACAGTCCATACAGAAGAGAAAGACCCGCTT